GGGGGCAGCAGGGCAGGCCCTATGAGGAGAGGCTACAGGACCTGAACCTGTTCAGCCTCCACAAGAGAAGGCTGAGGGGGGATCTAGTGGCCTGTTACAAACTAGTCAGAGGGGACCAGCAGGCATTGGGGGGAGTCCCTGTTCCCCCGAGCACTACCAGGAGTGACCAGGAATAACAGTCACAAGCTGGCAGAGGGTAGATTTAGGCTAGATATCAGGAGGTGGTACTTCACGGTCAGGGTGGCTAGGATCTGGAACCAACTTCCAAGTGAAGTGGTGCTGGCTCCTATCCTGGGGGTCTTTAAGAGGAGGCTAGATGAATAGCTTGCTGGGGTGGTTTGACCCCAGTACTCTTTCCTGCCATGGCAGGGGGTCGGACTCGATGATCTGCTCAGGTCCCTTCCGACCCTACAGACTATGACACTATGAAACTATAATAATTGTCATTTAAGGGGTTAAAATATAAAACATGTTGGTAGGAGTTTTCACGCAGCTGGTAAATCTGGAAGGGGGGTCCTCAATACAAAAAAGTTTGGGAATCTCTACTCTAGATCTAATTTTTACATCATGGACGGGTGCTACATAATAATAAAAACAGAGTTTTAATCTAGTTAACATTTTACTTAATTTTTCAAACTATTTTTGTCCCATTACAATCTATTTTTTTTTTCATTTTAGTCACACAGATCATAACTACACAACATGCTCCAGTAATGATTTATCTTTCTATAACACAATATCATTATTATCCATATCTTTGAAGCATTTCCATGGAAAAGATGGACTTACAGCTTTCTATTAAACAGGACATGATTGTAAGAAGATTCAAATATTCCAAAGTACAGATTCCAGGAAATATTAAGTCTGAAATCAGGCTTTAATCAGTTTACAGGTTTGAAGACACTCTTCTTAGCTAGGGTTCTTGCAATTTCCAGTTGCTGAAGCCATGGCTTCTCTTTAAATGCACTGCAAGACAGATGACAGGATAAATTAACTTTTTCCTAATGTGTATTGGGTTTCATCCTACACTTATACTGACTGGACTGGGCATTTTGCCCAAGTGAGGGATGCAGGATCAAGTTAGAACATGCAGTTCTTTTCACTAAGAGCCTGATTGTCACTCTGTGCATAACTGATTTCCTAATTTGTGCATATAATTACTGTGATTGTGTGTGTGCCAATCAAAACACTGCATATGTGGATGGCTGGGTACAAACAGGCCAAGGGCAGCCTCCTGACTTGAGCATGTGCTGGAACTGCACGCACAAATGGGACATGGAATAGTGCACAGACAGTTCAGAAAACCAGTTCAAAGTAT